AATCATAGCTAACACTTGGAATTTTTGTAAATATTGATGCCTTGAGGCCGAGTCGATGTGACCAACTGACATTGAATCATAGCTTATACTTAGGATTTTTGTACATATTGATGCCCTAAGGTCATGTCCGTATGACCGAGTGATGTTACAATTCATCATAAGTAATAAAACACAAGTACCATGGAGGTTGAGCTAATATGACTGACTAAAAGTGAAACGTTCTAAATCAATAAACCATATGCCTTGAGGTTGAGTTGGCATGACCGACTGAAGGTGAAACATGGTAAATCAATAAAACATGTGCCTTGAGACCAAGTTGGCATGACCGACTGAAGGTGAAAATTTTAAGACATTTAGCCTTGTGGCCAAGTCGGTGTGGATTGATGTCTGGGTTGGCATGACTGACCAATGGTGATAAACATAGATGTTTGGGTCGAAATGAGCCAACTAAAGGTGAAGATTTCAAGGCATTAAGCCTTGTGGTCGAGTCGATGTGAATTGATGTCTGGGTCAGCATGACCGACCGATGGTGATAAACAAATGTCTGGGTTGGTATGAGCCAACTAAAGGTGAAGATTTCAAGACATTAGGCCTTGTGGCCGAGTCAATGTGAATTGATTGAAGATGAACACAATTTTTTTGTTGAATAGTACTTTTATTAATTTGAGACCTATGTTGTTGATTTTCGCAAGTGTACGAAATCGTGCAAGTAATAAAGCTCGAGTAAACGAGTGTCGAATCCCAAGAGAACTACTTACCAAGTACCAAACTAGTATATCTTATTGCTATTTGATGAAACAGAATTTTAAGATTGAATTTAATGAAAAAGAATATAAACTAAAAACTAAATAAAAGCAGAATTTTATAAATACTTTGGTAGAGAAATCAATATGACTAAACCTAGGGTATAGATTTCACACCAATTTAATTCTATGCATTGACAATTATTGCTAACCTAGTTAAGCTTATTCTAAAGGCCAAACTCCTTAATATTCCACTAACTTTCTCTCGAACAATTAGCGAATTAACCCTTAAGCAACAACCCAAAATATCTCTAAGTTGAATTTAAAAGCTAAGAGATCATTAAGTTCTATGGAATTTACCAGAGCCTCACAGATCGCGGTAACCTATCTCTAGCGTTCGCTAAATCTATGGTTTTATTACCTTAGACTAATCAGGTTTCATCTCTCGATCTCAACCCAACCCATAAAATCATTCAACTCTCAGGCCCTTAAGAATTGAAAACATTATGCATAATAGTAAAACTTAGAATTAAAAGCTCAATAAGAATTAACAACAATTTAAGTCAATACATATTCATAAAGTGGGCTACATCTTAGCCCTAGAAAAGAGATTTAGTTCATAAATACAGTAATAAAAACAACCATTGTATTTAATAACATGACTTCAAGAAAGAAAAATAGAAAAACTTCTCTATTTTGTGAACGAGAATCGCAAGAATTCTGATCTCCAAAGTAGTAGCCGTCATTTCTCCTCCTTCCCATCTCCCTTAAAACTACTTAAAGACCCTTATTTATAGTACTAGGGTTTGGAGGTTACTTACAAAAGAATTAAATGCCTTCACCCATTCAGATTAGGACTAGGAGAATGTAATAACTTAAACCGGCCCGTGACCCATCGCTGCGGCAATAAGAACCGTTGCTGCGGCGATCGTTCTTTCTGTCCAATGAGTCTGTGATCTTTAGAATTTGATAAATTCATCAACACAAACTTTGTATCTCTCTGAATAAGCTTTCCAACACCACAAGAATCGTCGAATTCCGATTTCTACAGCTCAAGTTATGATCCAAACAGCGAAGCATGCTCATCTTGAAGAATTTCCAGATTTTACGTTGTATCTTCGACGCGTCACAACTTTGTCGTTTCAACTCCGACTCTTGCACCGTTTGTTCCTACTCGTCATGAATTCCATCGACATCATTCTTTTTCCTTCACATATTGGTTTGAACCTGAAAATACTCAAAATACACCCGTGATCCCGTAAAAGGTATTTATGAAATAATTAATTCAAATTCCACAATTTAAACACATTTTTCCACAAATAATCCAATTAAATCACTAGAAAAATATATACTTTCAAGCTCTTATCAACCTAGAGGCCGACTGACAGTGAAGGAGGTGGATAGGAAGGAGGTGGATAGGCCCACTCATTATTTTTATTTGAAAAATAAAATGAAGCTGAGACAAGTATTATTAGAAGTAATAGCGTTTGAGATTAATGGCGTTCCAACTGTTGCTAATGTCTTTGCCTTTGGGAGACTGGAGTTTATAGGTGCCCTTTTCCCAGTTCCTTAGTGATTTTGTATGAACCTCCCAAGTAGGGTTGAGTTTGCCAGAGCTTAGTGTTTTGGAAGACCTTGCGAAGGACCTAGTCACTTTCTCTAACTGTTCTCACTCGAACATTACAGTTGTAGTGTTGAGCAACTTGCTGTTGGTAGATGGCATTGCGGATGCGAGCTTGTTCTCGGAGTTCATCGACCATGTCAAGGTTGTGGCAAAGGTTTTGGTTGTTGGACTCTTCATCCCTCCACTGGAGTCTTGTTGAAAGGCTTGACACTTTAGCTAGGATGATCGCCTCTAAGCCATATGTAAGAGAGAATGGAGTCTCGCTAATGGATGGGCAGGCAGCGGTTCGGTAAGACTATAGGACTCCTGGTAGTTTGTATGCTCATGCGCCTTTTGCTTTCTAAAGGCGCTTCTTCATAGTCTGCATGATAGTCTTGTTAGAGGACTTAGCCTGGCCGTTTGACTGGGGGTTGCAGGGAGTTGAGAAGCTAAGCTTGATTCCCCACATGTCACAGAAGTCTCTAAAGCCTTAGCTGATAAACTGAGACCCATTATCAGTGCCTATCTCCTTCGGTATACTGAACCGACAAATTATATTCTTCCATACAAAGGTCTTTACCTTTCGGTCTCTAACTTGGGTGAATGCTTCAATTTTAATTCACTTGGTGAAATAATCAGTAACTGCTACCATGTAGACTCGTTGTTCTGGTGCAGTTAGGAGTTTGCCAACTATATACATCCCCCACTTCATGAATGGCCAAAGTATGAGAATGGAGTTGAGTTGCACTTGGGGGAGGTGAGAGATATAAGCAAACCTTTGGCAGCTGTCACACTTCTTTACATACGAGGTTGAGTCAGAGCACACAGTGGGCCAGTAGTAGCCGACAGTGATCACTTGGTGGGCAAGGCTGCGTCCCCCTGCATAATTCCCACACTCGCCTTCAAGAATTTCGGTGAGAACGTACTTGGCTTCTTTTGGAGTGATGCACTTGAGGTAAAAACCGGAGAATGATTTCTTTAGGAGCTAGCCCTCATAGATGGTGAATCTGGCTGCCTTGGCTCTTAGTCGGTGTTCTTTATTTTTGTCGATTGGGAGCTCATCTTTTTCTAAGTATCTGAGGATGGGGTCATCCATGAGTCGGCTGACTCAATATCCATTACCTTGGAAGGCTCTTGAGGGGTGAGTGAGTCATAGTCTAGGGTTCTTTCTAGTCGATTGGCCATTGGAGGAACTGGAGTGATATGGATGCCTCGGAGGATCCTTGAAGGGTCGAGCCAAGGTTGGCAAGTGCATCCGCATGGGTGTTTTCAGTCTTTGGGACTTGGGTGATGATGACTTCCTCGAAGGCCGACTAGAGCTCTTTGACCAAGTTTTGGTAAGTCGTCATCTTTGAGCCTCGAGCTTGGTAAGTGCCTTGCAATTAGTTGACCATGAGTTGAGAATCGGATTTGACTTCCAACTTTGTCACCCCTATCTCTTTGGTGAGTGATAGACCAGCTATCAGAGCTGCATATTCGGCTTCGTTGTTTATGCACTTGAACCCACATCGAATGGCTCGCTGGATGATGTGTCTCTCTAGTGTAATCAGTATTATGCCCAACCCACTTCCATTCACATTGCTTGACCCATCGACCAAGAGAGTCCACTTAAAAGGTGTCTTGCTAGTCAAGCAAGTAGCTCTCTCTCTCCATCTGAATAGAAGTGTTAAGAGTGAAGTCTACTATGAAATCTACTAACACTTGAGACTTGATGGTAATGCGTGGCTGGAAGGAGATGTCGAACTCACTCAATTCGACTGTCTATTGGGTGTAGGGCTGTGCAAAACTGGGTACCCGCTCCAGTTTTGACCAAAAACCGGGTACCCAAATATTCGAGTACCTCTAAAAATGTACCCGCTAACCAAACCGGTTTTAGAATACCCGGTTTTGCGGGTACCCGAAAATTCGGGTCACAAATCAGGTATCCGATTTTGTTATCTGAATTTCATTAAAATTAGTAAATTACACAGCAGATTAGCAGAATGCAGAATTATATCACTTTGAAATGCATGTGTGTCAATCTTAACTATTATTCAACAATGTCTAACACAAATCATTGAACCATACTAATCAAACACATTCCAACAAAAAAGTAATCTCTAAACCATTATCATATATTCCCTAGGACCAATTATTTTGATGCAGATCATATTGGAAGAATGGAAACAAATTACTTTCTTCAATTGAGCACCGATTTTGAGTCTTGACAAAATAGATCATAGGGGAATCTATCCTGGTAGAAACCAAAAAGAAAATTCTGCATAATTTCATTCCAGCAGTCCTATATATACAGACTCAAGAAATTAGCACAAAACTTCTAATGACTGAAGCAAATAATAAATTTATATGACCACAACCACATCTAATCATATATATTCCAAAGGATATAGAAATGTAAAACTTAAATCTTATTCGTGTAGTATCATTAGTTACCCACAACATCAACTTTTAATTTAATGCCTTAAATACTTAAGATTTAATATACAGCAAATCAAATGTAATACTACAGCAAACATACTTAAGATTTAATATAATTAAGAAATGAAAAATGTCTTTTACATTTAAATATTTAATCCACCAAACATAATACTGCAGCAACAAACACTTGTACAAAATGGCAAAATGCCGCAGAATTACACCAGCAAAGAGCAAACTTATACAGCAGTACTGTAGAGCTGGCCAAGAGAAATTGCAAATTGAAGTATGTAACTGTATGACTTTCCTTTAGCTATAGCAATCCTGTAGAAAATTAGTTACCATTAGGACCATCATTCGTATGGAGTTTCAGAAAATAAAATTTGATTTTGTGAAGTGAAGTGAAGTCTTACACTGCTAGAAGACTAGCAAGGCCCTTCAGAACTGTAGTTAGTCCTTCAACAGCAACAACTCCTGCATCTCTTGCCGCATATCTTGAATCACCTTTGCTGTATTCTTTCCCTAGCAGCTTTCATATATGAGTATCATCCACAAAAGGACTTATGGTTCAAGAGCAATCTTAACTGATTTTATGCCAATTTTCATAGATGAAAAGAAAGAAATGACTTACAAACTTCAGCCAGCCTCACTACCACCTATAAACTAGCATCATGACCATCAAAATTAACACTACAATTCAAAGTTTACTCATCATTATAAGCTCAACTCAACAAACTTTACTCATCAATATAGGCAATTCAATTAAAGTAAAGGGTTAATTCATCATTTGAAAAAGGATTTACAGATTCTACCTTTTACGGGCTGCACCAATACAAAATTCATAGAGATGGTATGAATCATCAATCATGTAGATGACCATGAATACAAGTACTCTCCACTGCCGTAGATGAAAATTCTACATAAAGATTGGAAATAACATTATATAAATAATGGTACAAAATGGAGTCAATAAGTAAGATATAAGTTATAATTAAATATTAAATATATGAAACTAAAGCAAAAGTTTTACTTGACTCAATTTCCAATAATTCCTCCAAGCTCTCCTCAATAAGAAATGGTACACGTGTAGCCTAAATCCAATCCTGCGCACAAATAAGAGCCTCCATTGTCTTAGGAGTAAGAGAGCTATGAAATGGATCTAAGACGCGACCCCCTGTACTAAAAGATGACTCAGATGCAACAGTGGACACAGGATAGGCCAAACATCGCGTGCCATCAAAGAGAGAATTTGATATCTTGCTGAATTTATCTTCCACCAACTCAAGATATCAAAGTTTTCATTCTCATCTTCAAGGCTTTCCCATAAATATTTATCCAACTCAGATTTTGGCTCCAAAGCACGTCGTCCAGCCCTTTGTTGATTAAACATAACCTTCATAAAGAATTTTGGATCAACATTTGCATCAGTAACATCAATCCCTGCTGCAACTTGAGATTGCTCACTTGACTGCGCACTAGGACAAGCCTTACGCAAACTGTATTCCTCAAATAAATAGAACAAAGTGTCATTCACTTTTTTTTTCAACCTCTCAGCATCAACATCATCATATGCACTATCAATAGCCCAATATGCGTATTCTAACTTATGCCTAGGATCCAATACCACTACAATGAATATTATTAAGTTGATATTATCAAGATCTGCCCAATATTTATCATGTTTTGCTTTCATCTTAGTTGCCATTAAACGTAAGCTAGGATCACTACTGTTACACCATGTATTAATCTTCAATGCAATGCTATATATCGCTTCCATGTATCCATTAGAGGTAACATAAAGAGAGCCAGACACTTGTAGAGTAGTATCATAAAAAACCTTCAAAAAAGGCAACAAATATCGAGCATAATCCCAATCAGTAATTGTAGGCAAACCCCTTGACCTTTCCCCAACAGTAAGCTCATCTTTATACTTAGGGTCTTGGATTTCCAATAATTCAAATGCTCTCTGAAATTTTAAAGCTACTTCCAACATCAAATAAGTGGAGTTCCATCTTGTTTCTACATCAAGAACTAGAAGACTTTTAGTTTCCAATTTTTCTTGCTCCACACACTCCTTAAACCTTTGTAATCTTGCTGGAGAATATCTCACATACCTCACTAAAGAACGAATCCTAAATATTGAGTCATCCAGCTCTTTTAACCCCTCTTTAACAGTTAGACTCAATAAATGTGCAGAACATCTCATATGAAGAAACTTACCCTTCAAGACACTTCCATTCCAACGCTCTAACCGATGCTTAAGATAAGTTATTCCAACATCGTTAGAACTTGCATTGTCAACAGTCACAGTGAACACCTTTGAGATACCCCATTCAATCAAACATTTCTCAATTGACTTGCCAATAGTTAAACCTTTATGACTGGTAATTAGACAAAAGTTTAAAATCCTTTTGTTCAGTTTCTAATCATCATCAATAAAGTGAGCAGTGAGACACATGTAATTAAGGTTTTGGCAAAAAGTCCATGTGTCAGTGGTGAGACAAACACTATGAGAATACTTACTAAAATAATTCTTCAACTTTTGTTTCTCATCATAATAAATTTTCAAACAATCCCTATTTACAGTAGTATGACTAGGTATTTGAAACCTAGGTTGTGCAACTCTCATCAATCGACGAAACCCCTCATACTCCACTATCCTAAAAGGCAACTCATCAGTAATTTTCATTTTAGCTAAAGCATCCCTAATTAAATCTTGATCAAATTTCCAAGTCGACAGTGAAGTGGAGGCAACAGTAGTTGCAACACCACTTGAGGGCTCACCCGAGTGCTGTTGAAAGACTAAGGTTCTTTGTTTCTTGTCCACTACATTGAAATGGTATTTTTTACACCTACTTAAGTGGTTACGTAGAGAAGTAGTACCACTTTTGGTTGGACAAGCAAGAGTAGACCCACAATAATTACATGTAGCTGTCTGATTATCCTTATCCTCACAAGGGTTTTTAGTAAAATGGTCCCACATTTCTGAAGCATTTTTCCTAATAGTAGAACTCGCCCGTTTGGGAGCTGTAGTTGGTCGTGGAGGCATAGAAGTCATATGAGAAGGATTAGGACTCTGGCCTTCTGTCATCAGGATTGACATATTAGTGTCACTACCCATCAGCCCAACCCCACAAGTGGTACTAGTATTTTCACCAGTGGAGGACATCTGCAATACATACAAAGGTGTCAAAAATACTATTAGTATAGTGTTATTTAATAGTTAATCAGTTTGTAAGATGTCAAACTATAGTTTAACCTGTAGGGTATTGCACATCTTAGAGAATAGATTAATGACATTTTTATTAAGACCAATAAAATCACATCCCTCTGATTTTACTATTGTATTTTGTCCTATAAAGTAGTGTAAACAAAATTTTCATATTACTTATTTTTTCACCCAGCACCAGTAATCTACACAAAAAAATCACCCACACAACCCAAACCCCAACAATATCACAAAATTAACAGCCACCACAACCAACTTCAGTCACAAAATTTATCAACAATTCAACATAGCCACACTAACTCTACCACTTCAGTCTTATAAGGGCCCAATTTATTAATTTAACCCCTAGTTCACTAACAGACCCATTGTCTCCAAGTGAAGATGACATAAAATGACTGAAAATATTTACCTCGGAGATGGAGACTGAAAATCAAGCCAACGGTGCCAGCGACGGCAGTGCAGATAGGTGATGGAGCTGGAGCAAAGTGAAGCCCAATAATTGCAGATGCAGACTGGAGAATTTGAGAGTGAGAGAGATGAGTGCGGCCATGCGATGAGAAAGATGAGTGCGACTGTTGATTAGAAGAGGGCAACACCAACAATGAAGAGATTCCTCATTGAGTTCATGTTTGTGAATTGCAAAAATGACAGCCCCACGGATGCTTTTAACAAGAAGAAAGTAACCGTCAGATACAGAAAGAAGAAAAAGACAAGTAAATAGTATAATGAAAAAGAAACCAACCAAGCCCACCAACGAGACCAAACAAAACACAGTACACAGCAGCAAATATTGGCAAGGGGATTGATGCAAACAAAGCTCCAAATTTCCCTGCAGGAAAAAGAATTCAACTTGACTATCAAAAAAAAAGAACATCAAGGACTTAGATTCTTAAACAGAATTTGCAATAATCAGTCACAAAGACACAAACCTAATATTGAGAAGAATATCATAAAGCTAGCTGAGATTTGAGAAGAATCTCTGTTGTTTTTCTCAAAATTAATCTCATTTGCATTAAAAGCAAAAATTTTGAAGGAAAAGGAGAACACTTACACGGAGACTGTAGAACCGGTCAAAGTTCCAAAGAGACCATCCAGTACTGTTGAGAGTGAGAGAGATGAGTGCAGCTATGCGGTGAGAGAGATGTGTGGCAGTGCGACTGTTGAGAGTAAGAGAGATGAGTGGCAGTGCGGCTGTGCAGTGTGCAATGCAGATGCAGAATAGCAGACTAGACTCTGGAGAATTTGTCAATTTGAGAGTGAGAGAGATGAGTGGCAGTGCGGCTGTTAAGAGTGAGACAGATGAGTGGCTAAGACGTTGAGTGCGGCTGTGCAGTGTGCAGTGCTGATGCAGAATAGCATACTGGGGAATTTGTCAATTTGAGAGTGAGAGAGATGAGTTTGAGACGAGTCGGGACTTGAGTACTTGACTAGGGCATAAGGGATTTGCCAATTTGGGGCTTTTGCCTTTGAAAATTGAATTATTGAAAATCAGCTTTTTTTTTTTTTTTTAATTAAAACCGGTTAACTTAAAGCAAATAACCGATACCCGAACCAAAAATTCGGGTATCACATTATAACTACCTGAAACTGACCTGAATTTTTGGGTACCTGATTTTTCGGATTCGGTTCAGTTCGGTTACCGTGTTCAGTTCGGTTAGTGATTTTTTTTGCACAGCCCTAATTGGGTGAGTCAACTCAAGAGCTCAGGTTTGTGCATGATCTTTTTGAGAGGGAAAGTGGTGAGGACAACAATAGAGTAGCGTTGGAAGTAGGTTCAGAGCTTCTTAGATGCATGAATGAGTACCAGGTCTCAACGTCGAGAAGTGACTTGCTTACATAATAAACTGGCAACTGTTTCCCATTGTCCTCTCTAATCAGGGTAGTTGAGATGGCTACTCCAAAACTGCCAAGTAGGTGTAAAGCTTTTCCCTAGTTAGTGGCTTGGAAAGTAGAAGGGGAGAAGTCAAGTACCTTTTTAGCTGTTGTAGGGCTTCTTCATAGGTTGGGATCCATTCGAATTGCTTTTACTTTCGAAGGGCCGCAAAGAAGTGGTGGCACTTGTCGGCTGACCGAGAGATAAACCAGTTTAAGCTGCCACTCTTTTAGAAAGGCACTGGATGTCTTTGATGCATAAGGGTGAAGGAATGTTCATGATGGCTCGAATCTAATCAGTGTTTGCCTCTATCCCACACTAAGTCACCATATATCCCAAAAACTTACCAGAGGAGACCCCGAATGAGCACTTGGGTGGGTTAAGCTTCATGTTATACTTCCTGAGGACTGAGTAGGCTTAACTGAGGTGATCCATGTGCTGTTCGGCTATGAGGGACTTGACTAGCATATTGTCGATGTATATTTCCATTGTTTCCCCCAAATGTTCTATGAACATTTTGTTGACGAGTCATTGGTAGGTGGCCTTGGCATTCTTAAGGCCAAAAGGCATTACTTTGTAACAGTAGGTATGCCTCTTTGTGATGAAGGTTGTTTTCTCTTGGTCGCTCGGATACATGAGTATTTAATTGTAGCCGAAGAAGGCATCCATGAAGCTGAGCAACTCATGACCGACTGTAGCGCATGTCGATATGAGGGAGTGGGAAGAAGTCTTTGGGGCATGCCTTGTTCAGGTCAGTGAAATCTATGCAGACTCACCATTTCCCATTCTTCTTTCAGACCACTACGACATTGGTGAGCTAGTCGGGGTAATGCACCTTCCGAATGATTCCATAGCAGCTTATCTACCACTTCATTGATGACTTGGTTTCACTCTGGAGCGAACTTTCTTCTTTATGTCTGATCGTGTGGCAGTTAGGGTCGACTTGGAGGTGATGCTCAATTGCATTAAGGTTGATCCCTGTCATATCTGCGTTGGACCATGCGAAGCAGTCATGATTCTGCTTGAGAAAATTGATGAGCCGTTCTCTTATCTCAAGACTCAGTCGGGAACCGATCTGAGTCTTCCTGTCAAGATGATCCGGATGAATCTAGACCTCATCCAACTCTTCCATGGATGAATGATCTGACTCAATTGGAAGAGTCAGGTGCGTTTGTAGTTGCTACAATGAATGAGACTTGCCTTTCAATGCATTCTTGTAACAATCCCTCAAAGCCTTAAGATCGCCCTGATCTCTCTCACTCCCCATCTGGTAGGAAACCTGATTGTCTAGTGGAAAGTTGATGGGATGGCTCTCATGTCATAGATCTAAGGTCGGCTCAATATGACTTTGTATGGTGAGGGGCAGTCTAGTACAAGAAAGGTGGTACATCGATTCACGTCGCTGGCATAGATAGGAAAGGCGATCTCTCCGATGGTGTACTTCTATTCGGAGCTAAACCCAACTAAGATGGTGTGGCGTCTATTGATATTCGACTCATCCAAACCCATTGTTTTCACAGCTTCCAAGAAGAGAATGTTGGCTGGGGAACCTCCATCTTTGAATATTCTCTTAACCAGGATATTCATGATCTATAGGGTGATGACTAGGCAACATGATATAGGGCGATTAGGGTGACTGGCTAATCATCTTCAAACTGGATGATCTGTTTAGTTGGTTTTTGTATGGGTGGATGGGAAGAGCGGGCTTTGGGGTGATGGCTGGCTCGGGCATGTCTCTTGGTCGAGCAGTAACTCACTCCACTGACTTCTAACCCACAGGATCTCATATGGCTGAACCCTTCTGGTTTTGGATCTGAGGGAAGGGAGGATCGATTTTTGTCATTTCTCCTGTTGATGGTGTTTTGCCTTGTCTGTCAACAGGTCCCGAAGGTATCCCCTCTTTAGTAAGGTTGCAACCTCTAACCTTAGAGCGATGTAGTCGACTATGTTATGGCCATGGTCATGATGGAACTCGCACCACTTGGTAGTGTCCCTCTTGACATCAAGGTTGAGCTTGACCGGCCACTTGACTGTTTGACCCATCCCCTTCATTACTACTACACCTTAGGTCAACTCGATATTCAAGTTGTACTCTAGGATTGTGAATAGTATAGAACTAAATGGTTGATTTGTAGGTCGGGCGAGTTAGCGGTCATACGGTCTCTGATTGTTTTTGTTGGAGTTGCGTGATAGAGGTGTATGATTTGTTTGCTACTAACAAGGTTCAGGGTGATTGTCATTTTGATTCTGTCGATGATTATCATAGGATGTGTATCTCCTACAGTTCATTTCGTCCTCCTCCCACCTAATTTGGATGATCGCTCAAGCTATTATAGCCAAGCTTGGTGAGGTCTTTGTATAGTTCCTTATCAGAGAGGAGCCCCTTCTTGAAAGCGTCCACTGTTAGTGAATATTAGTGTATGCCTTAGAAATCATTTGTGTTGTGGGTTTCAGAGCATTTTGTCTTGTATCAATATATCATAAATAATAGAAGAAAGAGTTCTTCAATTCATATATATAAATTGCTTCCTTTATTCAGTCATGCATTTAAAATAAAGTATATATATGAATTGCCCAAATGATTCATTTAATCAGTAAATGAATTTATCAAAAGGTTGCCTACGAAAGCAATATAATTTTGGCAACTATATTGCATAGTAGGCATACTAGATGCTTCCAAAAGATATAATGAGTTGATATAAGTACAGATGACGATGATAATCATGTCACTGCGGCATAAGTATGGATTAGTGATTAGTGAACTGTTTTTCAAATGTGACCGAATAACGACAAATCACTTGGAAGAGCATATAGTTAATGATTTATCATTTGGTTATATCAGTGCACGATGTAGTCTTTTAACCTGAGACATAGTGGTCAGATCCGATACGGATGCGTATGGTTCATACGGTGTATAAATACGAAACTAGTCATGTTTCATATGATAAAGCCTATTCAGTCATGCGTTGTTCATATGCAGAAACAAACGATGGTCAAGACAGGATCCATTAACTCAGAAATATAAGATCAAGAGTACCGCTGACTCCACCCGAATCCGAGTTCCTAGATGAGCGTCGATAAATGTCGAAAATCAAAATCTCTGGCCAGAGTCTATTTTTAGTCATACGAAAATAAGTTCGTGATGACAAGTTTCAAACATATTGATCGACGATTTGGTAGAAGATCGAGTTTAGGATATTGACGTTCCATGAATCTGTACCCGATCAGGATATATCAATGAAGGGACTTTACCTGTATGGTACATATGATCTAAAAAAGGTTTGATGAAGTATTTCTTCATTGTGGTTTAGGAACTATAGCACATTGCTAGATGTTTACCATGGTCGTTGGGCCTCTGGACAGGTTTTCGGATTCATACGAAACTGGCTCACGGCTAATCCATGGTGGACTTATATGGTCACACCAATAGCCTTGAGAAGTTAGAGAAGGATAAGAGAGAGAAATGATTATCTGAAGAGGGCTAGCACCTTTTGAGGGTAATGATGGCATTTCTATGATAATTGTTACATAGAAATTATTCGTGACATTTTAAAGTTTAAAATGGTCAAGCAATAATTAATTGTATTTAATTATTATATCTTAAAGCGTTAAGATAAATGAGATGAACTAAAATAACCTTTTAATAGTTAAAGGGCAAAATGGTAAACTTATGGGTTGTTAATGTAAACTAGTGTAGTTTACATGGGCCCTTGAATAATATTGATTATTCAAAGGCCAAATTAATAAATGCTTGGACTCTTTTTAGAATAAGATTTTATTAGGGCACACAAGTGAAAAGAAGGAATTACAAAATGACCCATTTATATATAAATGCAAATGGTTGCATTTTAGGTCAAGTGGTTCATTGTTCACTCATAAAGGAAAAACACAAACTCTCTCTTAGTTTCGGCCACCCTCTCTTTCTCTCAAGGTGGTGTTAAAGTGTGGAGGGTTTATAGCTTTAAATCTTGGCTTCATCAAACCTAATATTTAAGGAGAAGGTACAATGTTAATTTATGTTTTATTTAAAGTTTTGAATCCTATAATCCATATCTTAGCTTGCATGTCTTGTTCACATGTTTTCCATCATTTTTCTACCACCTCTTCATGGTTTTTTCATCCACTGCTATTTCAGGATTGCAGGATGGGATAGATATCTTTTCCTTATTGAACCAACTAACATACTCTTGGAACAGTTCACCCCACTTCTGATAGACACAGTATAGGTCGGTTGATAGCTTTTCTAATTTCTTACTACTAGCGAACTAATCGACAAAGGTGTCAGTGAACTGGGCAAATAAACCTATGGTTTTGTGGGGGAGGTTGGTGTACCACTAAAGAGCTGGTCCTGAGAGGCTAGATCCAAAGTTCTTACACATGCAGGCTTCTCTCAAGTCTCTTAGTATTGAAGCGGCAAACATCTGTTGTTTGTATGAAGCAATATGGTCATCCGGGTCAGTCGTGCCATCATAAAACCTCATGTTTGGAATGGAAAATTTGTGAGGCATCTCAACTAGGGCTATGGAGTCTACAAAGGGAGAGTCGGCGTAGCTATAGGGAAGGCTTTTCTTGGCTAGGGTGGCGACTCTGGTATGCTCCTCATCATGGCCTCTATGTCAATCAATTTCTTCACCAGTATTTGCTCAAGAGGTGTGGCGGTAGATAGGAGATCTGCATTGATGGCTTGGTAATGGGTTTGTCTCCCGCTCGACGTATTAGGGTGAGCCGAATAATTAGGTGTAGCTTGGTGGTTAGTTAACAGGGTGTTGGGTTCTTCGTTCATCCCTTAAGGATGAGTCATCCCGAGCGTAATAGTTCGAGTGCTTTTGCCAACATGGATGGTAAGGGGGGTAATTTGAAGACCACTCGACCCATCAGGGTGAGTCGAGCCAAGTGGCGTTTGGTACGGGTGACTACTCGACCTATAAGGAAGAGTCGAGCCAAGTGGGACTTGGAGATAAGGTGGATCACTCACATTGATGGCATGGTTGATGGTGGTGATATTTTGTTGCTATTGGCTGGGGATGGTTTGAGTAATTTGGTCTCAGTTGAGTGATGGGTCAGCTGATAAGGATCGTGTTTACATGGTTGGGTCAGTTATGTTTGTAATGGCAGGAACTAGGCCATCCATTAAGGATGACTAAAGTTGGGAAGACTGAGGGCCTAAAGTCGAGGATCTGGGGTTTGGGGTTTGGGGTTTGGGGTCATGAGGGGTTGCATAGAGTTTACCGGGACATAGAAGCGATTCTCTGGTATCTAGTTGAATAGGAAATCAAGAGAGTAAAACTGTATTATCTTTTCCCGCAAATTCTAGTTTTTGGCCCGGATGTTGGTATTCTCAACTCGAATGTTGATGCTCTCAACTTCCAATGTCGAGACCCTGTTGGCATGTTGCTACATTAATGCTGAGAGAGCCTCGACCTTAGCCATGAGGTTTGCTAAGGCTGTGTCTGTGGTTTTAGTCATGACATGATTCTCTGTTTAGTAGGCTGCAGAATGGGAGTTGATTGCCAAAGGGCCCACGGTGGGTGTCAAACTATAGACGCTAAAATCTACAGTTATAGAAAAATGTCTGATCTTGTGAGGTTGAGGCCACTGACAATCCGTTGAACCTGCACACAAAGCAAATAAGCGCAAAGCTTATTTAAAACCGATGTGGTGTCTACCGTAGGAACTCTGGCACTCAAGTTAGTAAGGTTGAATAACGCTTATTTAGTAAGGGCTAAGGGAAGGAAGGGTTACCGGAATTTTAGTCAGAGACTATAACTACAGCATAGGTGTATAAATCTTAGGAGCAAGAGCTTAAGAGCAAGTAGGTGGTATTGAGATTGAATGCTTAGTGAGATGTGTGACCTCTGTTTAAATAGTAGTCGTAGGATCTTCTTATCCTAGTAGAACTTCGAGTCCATAGTGGTAGAGGTTTAGTGAATAGGAAATACTTTGATTCACTTACCTTTAGAGTAGCATGAGTCCTAACTCATATAAGATTTAGGATCTTAAGTGAATTAGGATAAAGATAGAAATAGGAAGCAGACATACTAGAATCTGAGTAAGACTTTGGGCCCTTAGTAGTTAACATGGGACAATGGGCCGGATCCTTAGTGGCTTGACGATAAGGCCCAACCTGGATGGCCCACCTTAGAAGATGTATTGGGCTCGTGACACGGATCTCATGATAGGCCCAACCGAAATTGGGCCACGCCCCTGGGCTAATAATAGATGTCTCATGCTTTGGGCCTGGTAAAGCCCAAGGCAATATTTTGCCCCATATAATTACCTCATTGATTAATTTGGTATCTACAATCCATTAGTTCAATTCAATTACCGAGTTTACCCAAATGGGCTGCATTTCGCTAAGTGTAAGTTTACCAGCTGTGATAATAGCTACTGCAGCAGTTACTCAATCTTTATAGTATTCTATTAGGATCGAGTTTCACTGTATAATTTACAAGATAAAACTATGGATTATATTGGTTGGATATCTAAAGGAGTTAATGACAATAATCTCCTTTATGTATGAAAGAATAACAAAATTTCTTTTGAGGTTTTCGAAATAACGGAAATATTAACGAAATATTAGTGAGTCGTTTAATTTTTACATTGTTATGAGTTAATAAATATTATTAATTTTAGCATCTAAAACTCAAAGACATGAGAATTTTTGTTATTTCCGAAATTTTAGGAGGATTTTGTTGTTATATCATACCTCGGGGGGATTAATGTCACAAACTCTATCTAAAATACTTATCATTAGGATAAAGTTTAGGATTAAAGATAGATGGGTTAGTCGGAAAGTGAAATCCTAAAGAGAAAAATTGTTGTTCTATGACAAACTCTGTTTTGATGTAGAACGAAATCATTGGAACAGAGCTCTTAACCTTTTTTACAAATTATAACAACACGAGAATTTTTATTATTTCCGAAACAATTTAGTGCAAATTCGATGGTTCGATATATTTCAGTTTCACCCTGGGGTGGATCCAGGCCCACCCTCAATTTTTTTTTTAAACACTAATATGTATAATTTCTAGATTTGGGCTCATTCTAACAAAAACATTAATAGATAAAAATATTTATGTGTAATTAGTTTTTATTTTGGTCCACCCTTACATAAATTTCTAGATCCGCTACTGGTTTCACCTTTAATGAAAATTGTTTAGGACTATAAGGGCACTTAGCCAACAAAACGAAAACTAAAAAGCAATGCGGTATAGTATCTAAAAATGTGATTTACACTTCATGGCTCAGTAGTACTTCTGTCTCGCTCTCTCATGCTAACATTGGTAATTCTACATAGTGCGGCAGCAATGAGCTGAAACGTTTGTGGCACTAGCGGTGAAAGGATTATCATTTTCACCTGGAGTTATCTCGGCCCCAGGTCGGAAAAGAGAGGAATCAATTGTCGTCTCTCCAGCATCAGCATCCCACAGTATCCACTTAAGTTCAAAGTTCATCGGATCTATCTCTTCGATTCTTCGAACCGGCAAAATCTCTGGGATATCTGAGACTGACTCTTCGTCTCCAATTTCTGTTTCATCTTCAGTCTCCTCTATCGTTGGGAGTTGCCTCCTGCCTCGTCTGTGTCGAATTGCTGTTCCTTGCCGTGGCTTTTTTCCAGGCTTCTTTTGAACTTTAGCATCCTTTGTCCCTGATATTCCCTGCAGTGGCTCTTTGCCAGTTCTAGAGCTTGATGACCCTCCAGCTTCAGATGAACTTCCAGGTTCATCTTCTTCAATAACAATTCGCTTATATATGCACATTTCAGTAGTCTTTTTCGTGCAAGCATTCAATTCCTCCTGAAACAACATTGACATTTTAGTTCTGACTAACCCAAGACCAAACATTAAGATATCAATGGCCTTGAAAAGACTATTTAATTACCTCATGGACAAATTTTAAACCCAAAAGAAACTTATAGCAATTATAGTACATGTCGTTCTCCTTATACTTAAGTTTGCAAGCTGAAAGAATAGCAGCTGCTGCAATTACTGAAGGCCTGAACTTTGTAAATTCAATGTCTATCATAAAAATTCGGAAACTAAGATCAGATATTGTTTACAGAAAGAAGTTTAACCAAAAACTCAATCAAAATCAAAAACTTACCCCCTTGTGCTTGGATTACGATCTCATTCAGGGTTCGCTGTTTGATACGACGTGCCTCCGGAATCATTCGAACAAACATATTAACAAAGCAGATAGCTGTTACAGCGCGCGTTTTCCAATCAATTCCACTGAGTATCGCAAGTTCCATTCGGAGTATAACAATCTCATGCTCAATCATACGTGTTCTTTTCTTTTAAGAGATAAAACGTAGACAAAAGCAAATTAGAGAAACAAACAGTAATAGTGAATGAAATACGCTCAAATTACATACTAATTTACCAGAAAATCGAGGGGTCTGAATGTTCTATCTCTCATTTCATAAGCAATCTTTAAGCAACTGTTGGCAATAAGAACCATCTCTTCTCGCAAATCTCTTAGCAAATTCTGATTGAACAAATTGACATTAATGAAGAATGTATATGGAAAATCTGAGTCATAAAAGTTATGGGGTTTTGATGTTGTATTACCGGAAGTGGGTTGTGTGAAATGAAGCAATCAAAGTAAATCAAAGCAAGATATGGTACGAACGCATCATAATTGTCCCATCGAGAGTTCTGCATGCAACATAATATACTCTTAAGTCTCAGGAATCTATCAAAGACAGTTAATTCTGTGAAAGAAAAGATAAATAACATATAATTGTGGGAAAGATAAGATAACAAACATTGAGTTTGATCATTTATTTCGTTTTTTTGTCGTTTTTATTATTTTCTCAAAAGGCCAGAAACTCACATGAAAACAAAAGAAAAATCTTCATTTTCCCCCTCATTTCTATCATTTTCTATGAAGGCAAACAAGGGTTTATAAGTTCAAGAATCCAGAAGAAACTCAAATAAAGCAAATGACTTGCAACAGAACGAAACAAATGATTAGTAGTTCACAGTTCTTTCATTTACTTGGACTCTCTATCATTTTCTCAGTAGGTTAACAAGGGTTTGCATGTTCGTTTCACAAAAAAACATGGAAAACAATCAGACAGAATCAAGAAACCTTGATGGAATCAATAATTCACAAGGAAGAAATTCCAAAGAACAAAAACAAAACAGGAGTTAATAGTACAATTCTTTCCCCTTTTTTTTTTTCTCTCTTCAATTCTATCATTTTCCCAAGGATTTAGAAGTTGAAGAATCCAGAAAATTTGGCTTTATAAAGAAACTGACACACAACAGAACAAAACAAATTAATTAGTAGTTCAGTTCGTTCTTTTTCTTAGACTTTTTATCATTTTTTGTAATAAAGAACTGAAAGCTTTTACTCTCTTTTTTTCTTGGCAACGAAACTAGATATCATGCATATCTTTCATTTTCTTTCAATCTTACCTTGTTTTCTCGTCAACCAAACAAAACCACAAAGTTATATTTTAAAGTCATTTTCCAGGAAACCAAACAGAAACAAGAAAATAAGAACCTCATTAGCACACTTACTTCCAAGATCACTCTAACAGCTATCTTTCTGAGAGTCGCTTCTTTACTCGTAGCATAACCCTCAGCCGCCATGGATTCGTTTTCAACATTTAAGTAACTCTCAAAAGCATTTTGTTCTTGGTAAACAGGCACCGGATTAAGTGGGTCGTAAATTCTCAGAGCCATTTTTTTTCCGGAAAAAATCTAAAGAAAATAAGAAAGAATTCTCTTAATCTATTATCGTAACAATTTTCTCCTTGTATAATAATAATAATTCTCCGATAAATCATATACTAATACCTTGTCCTAATAGAATACTGACCTTATCTAAATAAATCAAGCAACTAAAATAAATGGCTCAAGAAAATTAGAGAACTGAACTACTAATTCATTTGTTTTATTCCATTTATTTCAAGTTTGTTAGTTTTTGATAAATTCGTGAGACTTAAAAGATTATCTTATGTTGATGGCACAACTCTCAATGTGACAATTTTGATCGTTCGTACCATATCTTGCTTTAATTTCAAAGAACCCATGATTTTAAGAGTTGGATTTTTCACATACTTTGTTTGTTAATGTTAACTGTTGCTTAATGTGCTAGAATCTTCAGGTCCTTGAATTTGTGGTAAAATCAATATGAGTGTATTTCATTTACTATTACTGTTTGTTTCTTGAAAGATTGAAGTTGTTAAAAGGCAAAAACGGATATGATTGTGGAACTTGAGATTCTCAATGGACTTGACTGGAAAAAGCGTGTTGTGCGCGCTACAAGATGGTAATCCAAACTCAAGGGAGTAACTTCTGATTTTGATTGAGTTTTGGTTAAGCTACTTACTCTAAACAATATCTGAGACATTATATTTACAAAGTTCAGTTATTGCAAAATGTACACAGAAAATCGAATTGTTATGAAGAAGATGAACAGAGGCCTCCTAGAGGGCCATCAAACTGTACATCTGACAAAGAACCCCGTGACGTTAGGGTCATCAGGCGGAAAATGACATCCTAATGGAGACAAATTGTTAATATATATAAATTAGGGGAAAATGTAATTTAATTTAATTGTTAAAATTACTTTTAATGAATGGGAAATGACATTCTCCACCCATGATATTTTGTAAATAACATTTTCCCCTACAATTTTGGAATATATATCTCCATATGAGGTTAGCAAGATAAGCAGAGGACTTGAGAAGATGGGAGTATATGACAATATTCAATGGTGTTTCCCTTTCTGACTTGTCTTGTAATGTTTCCTAAGTATGCCATTCATGGCAATTTTGCCGCTGGCGGAAGATTTTCTGGGAAATTAATGAGTTTAATTTGAGTTATATAAGGGAATTTTCAAGTCAACAACTTTAAAACCTTCCAACATGTTTTGACAAGATTCAAAGACGAGAAAACTACAATCACACGGATATAAAACTAATGCTACTGAGGATAATGATGCAAATGGAGTACATTTGAAGCATTGGCAATTGTCTATCCGAACCATTTTGACTCCTCAAGAGCTTGAAATTTTGGACAATCATCTCCATTATGTTGCTGAAAGGTAATCACGTAATCTGATTTGTTTATTTTTCTATCTTGATCAATAATATTTTGCACAACAACTAGACTTGAAAGATTAGATCTGATGAGTTCCTCATCAGCAACTGGTTGATGGTTGTACGAGTGATAATTTATTTGCTTTTTCAACTACATAAAAACATCAACTGGTCATCAGCAAGCATTAAGATATAAGAGGTGAATATGAGCTAACATGATGTAAATACTTACTACAATAGAATGAACAATGTATGTTGAGAAAAGAAAGATGAAACTAACACTGGATTACCTGAAGCAGGGGCCCTTCGAGCTGGAAAACTAGCTAATTTGTGTAAATATAGCCCACGAATGAAGTTCCATCCATGGCGGTTGTTCATCCATCCATCGTTTAAACTTGTCCAGTAAATAAGATTCAGTGCCCTGTTCAATGCCTTTATTTCCAGCTGCAAAATGCCACCGCCTGTCTTTTCCCTTTGATCAAATTTTATGGCGAAACTCAAACGACTCCATTCAAGTAAATCAGTAAAATCGTAATCTATAAAACAATCATCAAAAAGAATCTTCTCCAGCTTAAGGCAGTTGGACAAGAAAAGATTCATAACCTTTCTAAGTAAGAAAGCAACATCGAACTTCTGTCTTTCCACGTCTGGCAGATTCTTACTTACATCATATGCTGTACTTGCCTGAAAACGGAGGCGCCCACTTACATTTAGTGTTCTAAGTTCACGGCAGACTATGCCAATCTCTTCTAAGATATAAGTAAAGCATTGACTACTGGTGATATGACCAAGAATTATGTGTTTAACATGTTTCCAATTACAAACTGCATTTGCAAAACCTCCGCTCGTTATTCTTGATGTCCCAAGTACAGTTAAACTTTCAAGTCTTGGTGTTCTGTCATATGGGCATTCGTCATTCATGAAATTTCCACTAAAGAGAATGAGGTACTAATTAATCTAAATATTTTAAAATAAAGAAAGAATCTTGAATAAAATACCTTTCTGCAATGTAAAGGAGATGCTGGTTTGATATCTCGAGATCTTTTGGAATGAAAAGACTCCTTATGGACAATCTCCAATGCTCCAAAGAAATGCCAAACACATCTTTACCGTACAATATACTCTCTAATAGCTTCATCAATTTATTATCTATATGCTTAAAGCCTGCCATTGAACTGACATTTTTAGGAATCAAACGCCGAAGTCTGAATGATCTTCCAGAAAATGAATCAACTTTTCCCGGAGCAGCCACTAGAGGACTCAAATCAAGCACATTGTGCTCCCAAAACAAAATATCAAAACAGCATAATCGCCACGAGTGACACACTCTTAAAATATTACCAGGCGAGTCACTGAAGGAAAATATTTTCTTGAGAATATGAGTATCTAAATCCTCCCATCTTCTTGAGGATTCTTCCATTATCTCACCACAAATCTTCTTCTGCTCAATTTTGTCGATCTGCAAAAGACAAGAGTTACATATTATTGTCAAACACACCACAAATTTCTACCAACATCACCATATCTTGTTAAAAACCCACAACATTTTTCACAAAATTGGATGAAGTTAAAAAAAATTCATTGTTTCACCCCACATTTAACCCCATTCCAAAGCCAAAACCATAAGCCCTCTCTTGGCTCATATCCCTAAAACTCTCTCTCTGTATCACACAGAATTTGAATGCAGACATATTGCTTGTCGCTTCTTCCTTAAAGAGCAATTAAATTTAAGCAAAAAACAATTCTATCTTACATATCTGCAAGGCGCTATTATCTAAGTAGAGCTACAATTGCAGCTTATCAATTATCAACTTAATGATTTTTGTCTAGTGCACTCCTAATCTTGAACCATAGCTACATTATTCATTGTTTCAGACAATGAGATACAGAAACTCTTACAGTTGAAGAACAATTCTTTGATTGCCTACGTTACTAGTTCCAAGTCTAGAAATAACAAACAATAAAAATCCTAAACTTGAGTCTATTCAATGAAACTGCTTTTCAATCTCCAAATTTTAACCAGTTTAATGATGAGCGACGAATTGAAAATCAGAAACTCAGTGATACAGTAATCAAATTACACCATAAAACTTCAGATTATGTAATAATTTCAGAACACGGTTGTTAAATTGCAAATTTAACATATACGCATGCGTACAGATATAAAATCCACCTGAAAAAGCCGTCAGTAACGATGCACAAGAGGAAGAGAGAGGAAAGTGATGCAGCAAATAATAGGAAATCCTAAAACTAAATGGAATCCCATTTGGCTAAGAATTCCAAAGCCATGTGGTCTGCATGAGAAAGAGAAACAGAGCTAATTGATAAAACAGTAACCCCCCGTTTTTCTCGAGAACGAGAACGAAGATTTACAGTTTGTACATACACGCTTGATTTGCGTGAAAGGAAGAAAGATACGTTACGTGCATCACTAATTAGAATATGACACGTATTATACATATATTTGGTATGGGGTGTCTGGCCAGCTATTCCTTTTAAACCTAACCTTAGAAGTTAAACCCTAGAAAATTCAAACCCTTATTAATAGTTATAAGAATTTAAATTCAAAATTTCTTAAATAATATATCCAAGAGTCTCAAACAAATCGTTAAACTAGATAATTAATAAAGTACATTAATTTAACTTAAATTATTTAAAAATTAAATATCCATATATAACTTATAAAAGGTATAATCTGATACTATTTTAATGATATTTATATGAATATTTGGAAGGTTATTAATATTAAGTTTAAAATTTACACTCGTCTTTTAAGTGATATTCATATGAGGTCGTTGGATTGAATAAGGAATTAATAATTTAATTTTCTTTTAATCACTCACAAAAATCATAAATCTCCAGGCAATTGGTTTGTCATCGTTTCCTTGTACTATACGTCTTCCCAATTTATTACTACTGTAGAAATCAACTTAGCCTGAGCATTGCTCTAATTGCCTAATTAAGAAAACCCACCATGGAATTAGGTTTAAAAAACACCCGAAAATCGAATCTGTTTGGGTTGAAATTCGATCTCGTAATGAAACTTATTAGTATGGGGATTTTCTTTAATTGAATGAATTCCTATGTAATATTAGTTACAGGGGAGGTTATCGATAAATTGTTTGTTATAGTTGCTTATTGCTGAACTGAATAAATTGTCACCAGAGTGTGCCAGTCATGGCAATTAGGCTGTTGGCAGGTCGTATGTTGGACAGAAAGTACGTTTGATTTGGGTGTCATTAAGCATCCTCTTCAAAAACTTAATGTATCAACAATGAAACTGTTAAAAGAGCATATTTGAGGACCAGGGTGGGCGAGGAATTTATTTGGAGCATTGGAGATCGTCTGTTGAAACCATTGAGATTCCTGGAGATATGGAAATTTCAGATGACCATCTCCTTTACATTGCTGAAAGGTTAGCAATTGTAGTCTTTTTTTAATTAGACTATGCTGCTTTTGTGACTCTCTCTTATTTTACTTATTGCTTTGTTGTAGAACAACTGGGTTGAAGAGATTAATTCTATCAGAACCCTCGCAGATAACAGGGACAGGACTCATGAAAGCAATGTGCAACTGGAAAAATTTCCGATTTATTCATCTTAAGCAAGTTAACTATAGCTACTTCAGTCAAATTGTAGA